TCAAGTTTTCTCTCTCATATTTTCCTTCATGTTAAAAATGTACATATTTACTTCAGTAAATATGGTACAGTAATCATGTTGAAGCACTATAGGTTTGTAAGGTAATGATGAAAATAAAACTTCTGTGTTCAGCGTGCAGAAAAAAAGATGCCTTTTTTCCCTTCATAAATACTACAGTCAAAAGCATGACTTACTATTAAAAAACAATATGAATGATAGATTTAAAAAATGATTTTGTAAGGGGCCAGCCCAGTGGCACAGGGGTTAAGTTCTCAAGTTCCACTTCTGGGCGGCCCAGGGTTAGCTGGTTCAGATCTCGGGTGTGGACACGGCACCGCTTGGCACGCCATGCTGTGGTAGGCGTCCCATGTATAAAATAGAGGAAGATGGGCATGGATGTTAGCTCAGGGCCAGCCTTCCTCAGCAAAAAGAGGAAGATTGGCAGTAGTTAGCTCAGGGCTAATCTTCCTCAAAAAAAAAAAAGATTTTGTATATGTTTATTTCATAAGCAAGGTCATATTTCAAGTTCATCAAAAGAGGTAAAATATACAAAATAGAACACTTCTAAACATGCACATAAAAAAGTAAATAAATTGATAACATTAACGAATTCATACTAATTTTGAAATATTTGTTGCACTGCAATTAACTGGTCCAAAAGTGTGCCATGATCTGTAAGTGAACCTAAGGGTAATTTGATCTGAAGTCTGCAGAGTAGCCAGAAAAATATGTTGCAATTTAGTTATGTGATGTGAAAGAAAAAAGAATGACCTTTGGCAATGTAAATTCAAGTTCAAATCTTGGATCTAATGCATTCTTGCTGCATGAGTTTGGCCTTCTCAAATCTCTTGGACACTGGTTATCACCATCTGTAAGATGGAAATAAGATGTATCTCTTAGCCTAGAGAATTCATAAATGGTGATAGAATAAAGAGTTTATCAATATTTTTAAGACTTCAGATCAAGATGGTGACATAGGAGGCTCCTGAATTTCCCTCCTCCCACGGATGCACCAAATTTACAGTTATACATGGAGCAATTCCTTCAGAGAAATCCAGAACTAGCTGAGTGACTCCTACACAATGAGCAAATGAGAAAATACCCATATCAAATGGGTAGGAAAAGCTAAGATACACCTTAGCCATAAACCCCACCTCTGGCACAGCACCATACAATTGGGAGGGAACTCCCAACTCCCAGCTTCACCCTGAGGAGCACACATCTAGCACCCCAACTTTTAAGGCTCAGATCTGAGGAATGGGCTCCCAAAACACCAAGCTCTGAAAGCCAACAGGGCTTACATTCATGAGTTCCAGAGGACGATAGCAAACAAAGTAGTTCTCAGGTGTGCATGCACTTGCCACGGCTATCCCCCCCACCCAGGGCTCAGAGCAGAGGAAGCAGGCAAAAATGCCCATCTCCCAGTCTTTCCCTGGAAGGGGATTGACTACATACATTACAAGCCACTGTGTGAGGGGTCTGGCTTGTAATTAGCCCACATCAAGCTGCTGACTATGATCCTCCTCAGAGCCTTAAAGAGCTGCTGTGGCCACTTCTCCCACATTCTTCCTCTGGTTCCCTCCAAGAATAAAATCAAGTCACCAGCATCTCCCTGGAAAGCGCTTGTTCATACACCTAGCACCCCAACTTTTATGGCTGACACACAAAAGATGGACCCCCAAAAGGCCTAGCTCTGATAGTGAACAGGGCATTCATTCATGAGCCCCACAGGGCTATAGCAAACAAAAAAGCTGTTTTTAAAACAAAATTCAACATTCTTTTATGATAAAAATTCTCAATAAATTCAGTATAGAAGGAATATACCTCAACATAATAAATGCCATATAAGATAAGCCCACTGCTAACATCATACTCTATGGTGAAAAACTGAAAGCTTTTCCTTTAACATCAGGAACAAGACAAAGATGCCCACTCTTCTACTTTTATTCAAGATAGTATTTTAAGTACTTTATGCAGTAATTAGGCAAGAAAAAGAAAGAAAAGGCATCCAAATCAGAAAAGAAGACATAAAACTGTCACAATTTGCAGATAACATGATATGTACAGAGAACCCTGAAGACTCCACCAAAAAATTGTTAGACCTAATTAACAAATTCAGTAAAGTTGCAGGATACAAAATTAACACAGAGAAATCAGCTTTCTATACACTAACAATGAGCTATCTGAAAAAGAAATTTAAAAAAATCCCATTGACAATGGCATCAAAAACAATAAAATACTTAGAAATAAATTTATCAAAGGAAGTGAAAGATCTATATATACACCAACAACTACAAGACATTGAAGAAGAAAGAAATTGAAGAAGACTCAAATAATTAGAATGCTATCCCATGTTCGTGGATCAAAAGTTAATATTATTAAAATGTCCATACTACCAAAAGTGATCTATAGATTCAATTCAATCCCTATCAAAAAGCATTTTTCAGAGAAATAGAAAAAACAATCTTAAAATTCATCTGAAACCAAAAAAGACCCCGAATAGCCAAAGCAATCTTGAGAAAGGAGAATAATGCTGGAGTCATCACACTTCCTGATTTCAAACTATACTACAAGTAATCAACACAGTATGGTATTGGCATTAAAAACAGACATATAGATTAATGGAACAGAAGAGAGAGCCCAGAAATAAACCTATGTATATATGGTCAATTAATCTTCAACAAAGGAACCAGGAATGCACAACTGGAAAAGAAGAGTCCCTTCAATAAATGGTGTTGGTAAAACTGGATACCCATATGCAAAAGAATGAAACTGGATCCCTACTGTACCTCATACACAAAATCAATTGAAAATTGATTAAAGATTTAAACGTACGACTTGAAGCCATAAAACTCTTAAAGAAAACATAGTGGGTAAGCTCCTTGACATCAGTATTGGCAATTGATTTTTGGATTTGACACCAAAAGCAAAGGCAACAAAAGCAAAATAAACAGAAGGGACTACATCAAACTAAAAAGCTCTGCACAGTAAAGGTAATCATTAACAAATGAAAAGGCAATCTACAGAATGAGAGGAAATATTTGCAAACTACGTATCCAATAAGGGGTTAATATCTAAAATATACGAGGAACTCATACAACTTAACAGCAAAAATCCTACATAAACCAATCAAAAATGGGCAAAGTAGCTGAATAGCTATTTTTCCAAAGAAGACATACAAATGGCCAACATTTACATGAAAAGGTGCTCAACATCAGTAATCATCAGGAAAATGCAAATCAAAACCACAATGAGATATCACCTCACATATCGTTAGGATGAGTATTATCAAAAAGAGAAGAGAGAAATGCTGGTGAGGATATGGAGAAAAGAGAACCCTTGTGCCCTGTTGGTAGGAAGGTAAACTAGTATAGCCACTATGGAAAACAGTAGGTGGTCCCTCAAGAAATTAAAAATAGAACTACCATATGATCCAGCCATCTCACTTCTGGGTATATATCCAAAGGAAACAAAACGACTATCTTGAAGAGATATCTGTACTTGCATGTTTATTGCAGCACTATTCACGAAAATCCAAGTACGGAAACAACCTAAGTGCCCATTGACAAATAAGTGGATAGAGAAAATGTTATACATATCTATATAGATACACACACATGCAAGCACACACACACAATGGAATACTATTTAGCCTTAAAGAAAGAATGGGGGCTGGCCTGGTGGCACAGTGGTTAAGTTCGCATATTCCGCTTTGGCGGCCTGGAGTTCGCTGGTTCGGATCCTGGGTGCGGACATGGCACCACTTGGAAAGCCATGCTGTGGCAGGTGCCCCACGTCTTAAGTGGAGGAAGATGAGCACACATGTTAGCTCAGGGCCAGTATTCCTCAGCAAAAAGAGGAAGACTGGCAGCAGATTTTATTGATTTTAGCTCAGGGCTAATCTTCCTCCAAAAAAAAAAAAAAAAGAAAGAAAAGAAAGAAGGAAATCCTGTCATTTGAGAAAACATGGATGAACCTAGAGGGCATTATGCTAAGTGAAATAAGCCAGACAGAGAAAAGAAAAATACTGCATGGTGTAACTTATGTGAAACCAAAACAAACTAGTTGAATTCATAGAAACAGAGAGTAGAATGGTGGCTGCTAGGGGTTGGGGGCTGAGGGGAATAGGGAGAAGCTGGTAAAAGGTTTTAAATTTTCAGTTGTAAGATGAATAAGGTTTGAGGATCTAACGTATAACATGTGGCTATGGCTGATAACACTGTATCGTATAGCTGAAATTTGGTAAAAAAAAAGTATGTGAGGTGATGAATGTGTTAACTTTATAGAGGGAATCATTTCACAGTGTATACATATATCAAATCATCACATTGTACGTTTTAAATATATTATAATTTTATTTGTCATTTACACCTCAATAAAGCTGAAAAAAATATATACATATATTTTAGTGAGGAAGATTGTCCCTGAGCTAACATTTGTGCCAATCTTCCTCTATTTTGTATCTGGGATGCTACCACAGCACGGCTTGATGAGCCCTGTGTAGGTCCACATCTGGGATCTGAACCCACAAACCCTGGGCCAGTGAAGCAGAGTACATGAACTTACTAGGCCACCAGGCTGGCCGCTGAAAAAAATATTTTTAAAAGGTGTTTTTTTTTCCCCCTGAACTAAGATAATCCTACAGAAAATCTCAAGGGAAATTTTCTTTAGTTATTTCTTTTTCAAAGTTTCAGTGCTCATTAGTTAGGTCAGTATACAAAGAATTTCTCGTCCCAAGGGTTATCTTTATTATTTATTAAGTTCTGCCAATAACCTGATTGAAGAGAGCGCTATGTGAAATCTATAACTGAGCAAAAGTTATAGCATATAACGTGAAAGCATGTAAATTTCTTTTATCTAAGTCTTGCCTTCTTCCTTAAAATCCTAAGAGCAACATTGTGCTTTCTGAGTATATGGGATTTAAAAAAAAGACTTAAAAAGTATGCACGCATACATTCCTAGTTCTTTACCCCTGCTCTTTTGTACTTTTAGTTTTTTACCTCATTTCCTAGAAGGGCATTTACACAGGCTTCTGATGCATCGCAGATGGCTGTGAGATCATGTCCTCCTTCCAGAGCCAACACCACGTGTCCATCGGCCAGTGTCATCAACTGCTTCGTCAAATGACCAAAGCCTACCATAATACAAACAGAACATTTCAAAGTATTAAATCAAAAGTGAATAACCACTAGAATCTAATATTGATGGAGCATTTATTCTGTGTATTTCCTTTCGAAGCACTTTTTGTGTGCTAACTCATTTAATACTCACAATAACTTGATAAATTAGGTCCTATTATAATCTCTATTTTACAAATGAGGGAATCAAAACCTAAGATCCTACAACTCCCAAGTATCACAACCAAGATTTGCAGCAGTCAATCTGGCTCTTCACCAGTGTACAACACTGCCTTTCACAAAACATTGTACATATACCTGGATGAAAAACTTGAACTGTATTCAACCCATGTTAATAAGGTAAACAATCTCATTTGCTTGACGTTTGTTTCCTGTCTCCACCATCTGTCTTTATTATAGAAGAAAGTTTTCTACATATCACCTCAAATTACTTACAGATTTTTATAGACATTCTTTTTATTATGAAATAGTTGATAAATGCAAAAATTAAATAACGTCTATGTATGTTATAAAGTATAATGATATGACAAACACCTGTTCACTTACCTTGCAATTTAAAGGAAATAATGTTAGCAATACTTTTGGAGCCTCTTGTGTGCTTCTCTCTAATAACATGCCTCCTCTTCTCTGTGGGAAATCAGGGTCCTGAGTTTGTGTTTATAATTCTTGAGGCTTTCCTTTGTTTAATTTGCTTGATTTTAAACTTTATAAAAATGGTTTTATACTTTTGCAATTTGCTCTTTCACACAACATTTTGTTAGCTCATCTCTTTTGATGCACGGAGCTATAGTTCTTTGCTGTCTAGATGGACATTTTATGAGTATAGAAGAACTTATTTACCCATTCACCAATTGACAAATATTTGGGTTTTTTGTTGTTACAGAAACCCAGCATTTTGTTATTACAAGCAATGCCTCCATGAACATACTTATACCAGTCTTCTGGTGCACATGTGTAACAGTAGAGTAAAACTGTCGTGGCTTAATACATGCTAAATAATACCAGATTATTTTCAAAGAGGTGTGCCCAACTCCAACTCTCAGAAGCACTATATATAAAAATTCCAATTTTGCCAACATTTGCTAAGATTGCCAAGTGGGTGGGTGAATAATGGCATCTGTGGTTTCATGCAGTTTAAGGAGGGATCTTTCTATTTCTACTTTGAATTCGAGTTTTTATTTTAAATAGATGTTGAATTTAATTAAATTATTTCTCTACACCAAATGAGTCATTTTTTCTCCTATAATTTCATAGTGTTGTGAGTATGTTAATAAATATTTCTAATATTAAGCTACCATTGAATTTCTGGAGTAAAATAAGCTTGGTTGTGATGTATTGTCTTTTTTATACATAACTGGATTTGTATTGCTAATGCTTGTGTAGGATTTTTTTCACCTATGTTCATGAATGGAGTTAATCTATAATTTTCCATTCTTATATTAATCATGTTGAATTTTGATATGATTGGGACCCTCTTTTTTCCATTATCTGACCCTAGAATGTTGGGTTGAAATCTTCCTTAAAACCATTTGAGTCTTGTGTTTTCTTTGAGGAAGACTTTTTTAGTTTTGAGGAAGGTTAGCCCTGAGCTAACATCCACTGCCAACCGTCCTGCTTTCTGCTGAGGAAGATTGGCCGTGAGTGAACATCTGTGCCCATCTTCCTCTACTTTATATGTGGGACGCCTGCCACAGCATGGCTTGACAAGTGGTGTGTAGCTCCATGCGCAGGATCTGAACTGGCAAACCCTGGGCTGCCGAAGTGGAGCGAGCCAACCTAACTGCTACACCACTGGGCTGGCCCTGAGGAAGACTTTTTAACTACTGATAAAATTTCTTCAGGGATTACAGGACTACTCACACTTTCCAGATCTTCCTAGATTTTTCTAGGAATTTGTTTCTTTTATTTAAGTGTTCAAATTTATTGAAATAAAGTTGTTTATTATCTTTATTATCTTATTTTGGAACTTTAATTAGATATAATAGTTACGGTCATTATGTCCTCAATGTCTCTTAAGTTTCTTTCATAGTTTCTATGTCTTTTTCTGTCCTGCATTATGTGTACTTTTTTTCAGATCTGTCTTCTAGACTTTCTCCAGATGTGACTAATCTGCTGTTTAACACTTCTCTACATATTTTCATTTCAGTGATTATATTGTTCAATTCTAGATGTTCTATTTGGTTATATTTCATCACTTCCTAGTCATTTTCATAGTTTCTTACACTTTGCTCATTTTTCATTTCTTCCTCTTTTTTTTTCTTTAGGCATAATTATTTTATATTCTGTAACTGCTATTTGAAGTTTTTATGGCTTAGCTTACTATGTGTTGTTTCTGCTGATTCATCCTCATGGTGTCTTAATTCTCCTCTGTTTTTTGAGATTTTTTTTAACTCATATTCATTGGAACTTTATATGTGAGAAGTCTTTGAAGCCTTAGTTGAATGTAATATTTATCTTTGAAAACTCGGGTTGAGTGCGATTTTGTCTGCTTCTGCTGGATGGCTGGGCCACTGGCAACTAGGATCAATTTTAAGTTCTAAGATTGCAGGGCTTTTTTTTTAATGCACAGATATTGTAAAAGTGGAGCCCAAAACTTGATTACAAATTCTCATGGAAAAGAAATTCAGTTTCTTTTTCTGAAATTCAGTTTCTTTTTCCTTTTCTTTTCCTTTTTTTTTGAAATCCCCCTTATTCATAGCCATACCTAAGACAGATTTGTTGTTTTGTTCAGTATTTCCTTTTCTCCTATTCATCCTTTTCCTTAGAGCTGGCCTTTTGTCATTCCTGTCTTCATTCTGGTCTTCAATACAACCCCTTCCCTACATAAGCCCAAAGTTTTGACTCTCCTTTCCAGTATGTAGTAGTCTATCAACGTACAAGCTCTAGTCAATTGGAGACTGTGGGATAGCCCAGGGAAGCCAATAGCTACAGTATTTGCTCACCTTCCTTCATCTTTTTGGAAGTCATCCATAAATTTTAAAGAGTAGTTTTGATATTTTCATGTAGGAGTGTTTCAGGATATGTAGTCTCTCATATTGCCAAATTTAAATGTTTCTCATTCAACATTTTAAAAAATTTAACAGTGAGTCCAACCTGCCCAATTTCAGAAACAATTGCAAAAAAACAAAAGAGATAAATAAAACCATGTGTTCAATATGGCATTTCATTTTTTTAATATGCTTTAAGGATTTTAGGGAATAAACATTAAATTTTTCAATCAATTACACTTTTTAATAACTAATAGATTTTATTTTTTTAGAGCAGTTTTGGATTTACAGAAAAATTGAGCAGAAAGTTCCCATATACCACCCAACCTTCTTGCTGTCCTTTCCCCTATTATTAACATCTTGCATTTGTGTGGTACATTTGTTACAAATGATGAGCCAATATTGATGCATATTGTTAAAAGTCCATCGTTAGGATTCACTCTTTGTGTTGTATGGTTTTACAGATTTTGACAAATGCTTAATGTCATGTATCTGCCATTATAGTATCATACAGAATAGCTTCACTGCACTAAAAATCCCTTGTGCTCCAACTATTCATCCCTCCTCTCCACCCCAACCCCTACAAATCAATGGTATTTTTGTCTCCATCGTTTTGTCACTCACTTTTCAATGTTTGCATTAATTCAAACTTTTAACTTCCTGTATTATCTGTTCTAAAGGACAAAGGGCACTATTTCATTTTCTCTCATTTATATACTACTTATAGTATTTAGAATATCCATAAAAACTCTATCTCCATAAAAACTTGAAAGAATAATCTTGAACATGGAAGTCCATGCTCTGAAAGCCCACCTGTGCTGCCTTCAAGAGTGTCCTCTGTTCCTCTCTTAAGTATTGTGGTCTTTTGTTTGAAAAGAAAGGAAATTCTCACAACAGAGTTGGTAGAACTAAATGAAAGTCTGAAAAATTGTCAATGAGATCCCAAAACCGAACTAAGTTGCTTCCATATTGGAACAATGAAATAATATCATCTTAATCCTTGGAAAATATTGAGATATCTACTCAATAAAACTGTCCAGAATTTCAGTTCTTGTCTAGCACTTAAGGCTAGCCATGAAAAAGAAGAGTTCATTTCCTCTGGCAAAAAATTATTCAAAAAAGGATTTTAAAAAGGTGAAAATTGGGGCTGGCCTTGTGGCACAGCGGTTAAGTGGGTACATTCCACTTTGGCGGCCCAGGGCTTGCTGGTTCGGATCCCGGGTGCGGACATATCACTGCTTGGCACGCCGTGCTGTGGTAGGTGTCCCACATATAAAGTAGAGAAAGATGGGCATGGACGTTAGCTCAGGGCCAGTCTTCCTCAGCAAAAAGAGAAAGACTGGCAGCAGTTATCTCAGGGCTAATCTTCCTCAAAAAAAAAGAAAGGTGAAAATTATTTTCAAGCATTGTAATATTTCTCACTTTCTATAGACCACATGATGATACCAATAAGAATCTTTTCCACAGGCCACTTAAGAATGAAGCTGACCACACTAAACTCCATCTTCTTACCTGATTACTATAAAAAGAGTGGTAAGCTTTCAGAAAATATGTAATGCAAAGTTCTGATCCCTAATTCTTAAAAATCTTCTTGGCTTAAGTCAAGGTTAATAGCACATAGTAATTAGTTCCACTCTTGTAAACAAAAAAAAAATAAGAAATACTCATAGATAAGTATTTCTGCTACTCATATTGTTAAATATTCTGGACAGCTTTTCCTATAACCTAAACCAGGTCTACAGTGATAACTTAAAAAGATATAATAAATCAAGCCAATGCACCATATCTTTCATACTAAAGGTTCCTAGCAATTGAGAATTCAATTATCTAAAGTCACTACTGAGCAGATCAAATCACACGGATAAAAAAAAATAGGAGAGAAAGAACCAAATCTGATTTAAATTCACTCTTTCCTCTGGGAATAAAAAAAAGTCCCATAAAATACCAAATTTAGATGGGATAGTAAAAAGTGGATGGAAAGAATGGAATGAGGCTAATCTTTGATCTCT